ATTTTATAATAAAAATCATGCAGATTATTGTATATTTTAATGCGCAGAATGATTGCAGAATTTATTTTTAATAAAAACAGAATCAGTGTTTTATAATCACAGAAAATTATCGTCCCTGCTTTGGACATGTATTTTCCACCTCCAACTTCTTTATCATAGACTAATCTTTCATTATATAAGCTAAGCCAGTCTTCTGGAACTATTTGCTTTTCAGGCGCTAATGAATAATCTGCAAAGAAATCGTGTAAGTGCACTGGGACTTCTAGATCAACTTCTAGTATATAGCCGATTTCTGCATTTGACGCTATGCTTTTGATATCTGGTATTTTCTCTGATGCTACTTTACCTAAAATTTCTGTAGGCATGTATTGGGTCATTGCACCTGAATATAAAGCATTCATATCCTCATACATAATCCAGGAATTTGGCTTGCTAGAATTATAGTCTGAATATTACGAATTATTTGCTTTAGCATATCGATGACTTGTCACTGTCATGCCTTCATGAATGCCATTTTCTACTGTTAGATATTCATTCATATTTGTCATGAGCTTGAGTTCTGCCCTGCTACTTTTGTAAAGAGAATCATTAAACATTCCAGGTGCTGAAACATAATGAGAGGGATCTAAGCCGTCGTCTTTCAAGCATATGATAGTGTAGTTCATGAAAATATCTGCAAGTAATAGTACGTCAGTTTCTAGATATAAGTCATCATATTCTCCAAAATTTTTCATCTCAAATTCCTGCCATACTTTTTGAGCATGTTCGTAATCCTCTTTACTAATATTTTGCTGGCTAAGAATCGAATAGAAATCCTTTCTTTGTGGTAGCTTTGTTCTATTGAATTTATCCCATGAATTTGTCCAATCATATAGAAATACACGCTTTCGGAAAAGAAGTTTAATCTTTTCTATCGAATAACCTTTTTCAGTAAAATGCTTAACTGTTAAGGGAAATTTTTTGAGCTTTCCTCCTAGACACTCAACTAATTTATTAAGTCACATCCCCATATGTTAGAAGTTGTCAAGAAATCAGAGCTGACCAACATCCATAGCCTTATACTTTCCTATATTTTCAGGGATACAATTTAGCTTATCAGCCGTGAACTTGCTCACAACTTTCATAAGCGGATGAGAATTATACCCCTGAAAATTATGACAAATAAGAGGCACTTTAGTTTCGAAAGAGCCTATTCACAATTTTTTGTTACAAGTATTATGAGCTAGACCTCGATACTTTCCATTTATATGGTCATGATCTTTTACTTTTCGATTAAGCACACTTAAAGCTTCTCTATATTCTTTTTGTATCTTTTCTTTTCTGGATGATCTTCCCCATGCTTGCTTCCCATTCATTAACTTCTAATAATTTGTGCTTTGCTTCTTCGAATTTTTGCAATACTTCTTATGCTGGCTTAATAAAAGGTTTCTTACAAACCCAGCATTCGGTTGCTTCATTATAGGCCTTTAAGTCTCCTGGCATCATGATCATTTCAGCTGATGCAGATAGATCTGCTGAATATTTATAAGCTCCTCTTTGATTCTATCAACAAATTTTTCTAAGGCATCAGATCCTCTATATAGATTATAGCTTACTACCTCATAATTAAGTGAACTGTTCATGCAAACTACTACATAGCAGTATCCACACGGCTTGTGCATCTGTAATCTTTCAGTATAGTTTAGCTTCATTTTTTCTTCTGAAGTTAACTTTTCGGTTAACATTTCTAGATCCCAGAAAATGCGATATGGATTTAGTTGCATACATTTATGATTATAGAAAGCTTTGACACTCCTATTTTTCACTGAAATTTGGTGTTACTGGAAGACATAATTTAGACCCTTGCATTTTGGCAAATGTTCATTATATCTTATTTCTGAAGAATATATATGAAGACAATAATGACAAATATATTTTCATCCTTTATGTTTGCTATGATTGTACACCAGCTTATGTAAATCTTTAAATAATGCAGTAATGGCTTCTATCATCTTCTGTAATTACTAGAAGATTTACTTGCTTATATTCATTTTCTCTTCTTTCTGAAACATAGCGAAATTCAAGACACTTATTCTGGTTGTGCCATTCATAGACACATAGACTGATTTCAGGATTATTTTCTTCAAACTTTTTATAAACTGGTGTTGAGACTGGTACTGGAATCGGGATGACATCCATATTAAGTTCCTCCACGAAACCTCTATATAGCCAATGCAGATTTCTTTCTAGATGAACTTTAACTAAATGCAAAGTTCCTAGGACACTCCAGCTGAAACACCAGTCATCATTATTTTGAATATTAATAATTCTATTATTACATTTTGGCATAGTTTCAGGTAAAGATATATAGGCAGTAGGACCAATTGGATTGAAATCAGCTATCTCTATACTAAATTCTTCTATATATTTGGGTTAAGCATCAGACATTTGGTATATTAGTTAGCTCTTACTATCACGCTATTACTTACTTATAAAATTTTTTCTTTAATTAATTATTTTCTATACCTTTCACTTTTCGATCATAAAGTTGTCACTGAAGGCACTATTTACAGGTTTATCAAAGTGCTCTAGCTATTGCAAAACTGAAGCATTAAGTAATTATTATTAATCTTTTCGAATCTAGTAATAGTAGGATGATCAGAGAATATTCTTGTCCATATCTTAGCAATTCTGAAAAGGCTTATGGGAGAGCTTGTATTAGGCCTGAAAGATGCCAATTTCATTAAAAGCTAAAAAACGGCTACCTTGTTCTGATTGTGAAAAGCCAACTGCCTCTATTTGTGGACGATATCCAACACATATTAGAGGCTATTATATCATCCAATACTATGATAGATTGCGGGCTAAGGCTTTAAATCTAGTATATACTAAGGGCATAACGGAAATATAATTTGTATACTGCTAAGTTGGCATGTTTTCGTTAGATTATTGTTTTTTATACTTTCATTCCTATTAGCTTATCCAGATAGCTTTTCTTTTATATGCTATTTAGTAAATTAGCCTGTGCAGAACCCATTTTAGCTAAGGAAATGTTGGATCAATTCTGCGGAGTTTTCTGGATTTTTACAGAGGACATTAAAGCATGACTTATTTTTTGTATGATTTATTATATTTTCTGACCTTTGAAAGCTAATAAACATACTTCCTGTTATACATTTTTGTATGACTTATTTTTTGAGGAAAATGTGACTAAATTTTCGTATGATTTATTTTGAGAAAATTGGGACAAAAATTTTTCGTATGACTTAATCTGTGATTTTTCGTATGACTTATATTTTTTGTATGACTTATGTTGAGGGAATTGGAACAAAAGTTTTCTGTATAACTTAATTTTCGTATAACTTAAAATAAAAATATGCTATTTAATGAGCTAACTTGCATAGAATCCCTTCCTGATATATTAATTTTTTGTATAACTAAATAAATATAACCAAAAGATGATATAGAAATTAAGATTCTAGAGCTATTAGGAGCTCTTCTAATATAATAAGAAAAATCAATATGCTTTTTAAGGTTAAAAAGTCCATACACACAATGTTTCAGTGGAGGCTGGACCTTCGGTCCTTAAACCCCACTTCCATATTGTGTTAAAAGTTAATTTTATTTATTTTTATATTATTAAAAAAATTTTATAAAATATAAAAATTTATGTTTAAAACATTTATTTAAATATTTATATATTATTTATTTATTAAAAAAATCATAAATTTAAAGTTAAAAATTTTGTATATATTTAATACTTTAATTATTAAAAATGAAATTTTATTTAAAATAATAGATTTATAAAAATTTTATTATGTATTTTAACTAAAAATTAAAAATAATTATAAGTTTAATATAAAATTTTGTATTACAATCAAATTTATCAAATTTCTGATATTAAAAATTTCATCAATAGTTGAAATATTTATAAATTCTTTATTATTATCAATTGGTTTATTAGTAATATCTTATATTTCATCTAATAAATCATCCATTTTTTTTAAGATCTTCTCAACTACATCATTTATTTTCAATCTTTAGGAAAATTAGATTATTTTTATTATTAATTTGCATATTAGTTTGTAAATCACATTTATTATATTGTAATAGAAAGCAAAAAATGTAGCATAGTAAATATCTACTAGATCTGTAAAAGGATCCACAACTTAATTTACTAAATGAAATGTAAAATAATCTATATATGTAGTGATACTTGCCTAAACTTTTTTTTGAAAAATTTTAGTTTCGTCAAAAGATTTTGTCTCTTTAATATTTTTATATGAATAAATATAAAATTATTATATTTTTTAATGTATTTTAATTC